GAAGTCCCAAGTGACTTTCACCAAGGTCACTGAAGCCTATTAAGCCTCACTGTCATCATCCGCTAAAATAAGGACAAGTGCATCACTGACGTTGAATGATTGCTTCCGATTTGGCCATTTTGAATGCTTCTGCATGTCCAGTTGCGGCAACAATAGGGAAAATCCACTAAATTACTCATTAAATAGAGGGCAGCAGCACTAAAAGTCAGTCCGTATATAATCCGGAGCGGGCTTCCTGCGACAGTAAATTGGTCCGTATATTATACCGTGACTTCAAAGAATTAACATACAGGAAATGCATAATGGGCGATAAATGTTTTGGGAACATTAAGTGATATTAACTTAACATACCTGAATTTTGGAACTGGGGAATATTCAGGAGGTTCCCATGATAGTCCACTAGATAACAGTTTAGTTAATGCTGTAGCAGTTGTCCGAGCTGCTTCAGATGGGTCTGCTAAGTTAGGCTGCAAGTGGTGGCCCCGTCTCTGCCTTACAGGGGAGCCAACGCTCAACTTCACTAAAAGTCCAAATAATTCAGCTAAGGCACGACCCAATCTAGAAGCTGCAGATAGTAATGGTTTGATCTGTTTCACCTGGTGTGCTAACTGTGGGCTCATTTTAGATTTGGTTTTAGCTTCTGATGCATCAATTCTCCCATCGTCCACCTCCATCGGGGACAGGGAATCACATATATCCATCATTGTACTAGAATTACCAACATTAGCACTTCCCTCAGTCTCACTAGTCCTCAAATCTCCCTCTAGTGTATTGAGGTCTTTCCCCTCCTTCTTTGTTTTCAAATTGTCCTCTAGCACACCATCTTTAGGTAAAAGTTTATCCATGTCAGCTTTTCCAAATTGACAACCATCTGCCAAGCTATTTGGGGTGCACAGCCCTAGCAACACTGTGCTTTCCCACACCAGGGACGAGTATAACTGACTCAATCCTTGCAAAACAATTTGACCTAAATCTGAGCCCCAGTGGTTTACTGCCATAGTTCTTACATCACTCTGTAATAAGAAAGACAAAACAGGTTGTTGCATACTTGTGTGCCTTGTTACTAAGGCTTGAAAGTACAATTGAGTTTTCATAATTTAATAACGACAATAATAACAAGATTAAATAACAGCAACAATGACAAGAGTAATAATCAATCATTTTATATACAACTACTTCACAAAAAATACCTCAATTTATCTAACATTACATTTAATTTATTTATTTACCCTTTATACTATTCAACAAAGTTCATACCTGGCCAACTTTGCACACATGTACAAACATTGTGATGTAGGCATGAGCCGCTCCCATTGCATGTAAAAGTGGTGTGCTCTGTGCAGATAATAATGATTCTTCAGTCTTTGGAGCTGTGTTTGCAAGCTCTCGCAATAGAACGGAACCGCCAGGGGCTTCCAGCGGCTTATGTAGAGGCTCAAGAGAACGTAGCACTTCGGATAAATGAATCAATCCTTGTCTTAATACCTGAGGCTCTCGAGCTAATGTCTGTAAGTAAGTAATAAGTGTATCTTTAATTATTTTTTTCTTAATTATCACATTTAGAACAATATACATGGTCATCACCACAAAAGAGGCACTAAGAAGGATATGCTATTTCAAGAAAATAAGAAATGCCTAAAAAATATGTTTCTGAAGAAACAATAATGTTTTAATGC